TATTCATCCGCAACTCAAAGCTTTGCATGAGGCTCGTGGCCTGCAAACCGTTTGGATGCAGCTTCGCAGTTTGCTTTCACAACGAGTCACCAGCCTCACCTCTGCCATCGATGCTGTCTCACAAAATTTCTGGCCCTTGATTTCGCAGCTTCAATCTGACCTGGCTTCGACAAGACGTGGCCTTACTCAGGTAGCCGTTGGCATTAGTCCGACTCATGTGAATTGCGGTAGGCTTGATCCTCTGGACACAGCTACCTACACCCAATTAAATCTTGATCTGGATAAGCTGGCTGGCGAAATAGATCGTGTTGCTACAGGTCTTGAAGAATGTCGACTCCAGGGGGATCGAGCTGTCGAATTGATTGTCGAGGGTATTAGAGGTCAGGGATTATCGGATTCTAAGCGAAGCAGTTGTCGAGTACGCCGGGAAGAAGCTGCAATGCAAGAGGAGGTGCAGCAAGTGGTGCGAGAAGTCAGTTCTACACATCAAGAATTGTTGGCTACTCTCAGCCGAGTCCGAAGAAAAATAACGGATCTCAGCATGGAGGTCAAGGATTTTCAGGTTGGTAGTATCAATTTTGCAGTTTGTTGGAAGTGGTCTGACCTCATTTATACAACTTGTTCGAATTGTCACGGAGACCTAGTTGAACGCAACTTGTCTAAAGTCATCTGATGATGTAATTAAGATAGCTCTCGGCGCTGGACCGTGGACTTAGTACATTCCCATACGTTTCGCCGAGATCGTTAGTGAGTCTTGCCATTCACAGCACTAAGCTACAACATGTCAAAGGGATAATTTAAGTCAATCCCCTGACCTACTTTCTGTCGAGCTGTTGGGCTATCACTCTCCTTTCTGTCCCGACACATCTACCTACTACTCACATCTCGCTGCTGCCCTTTGACAACTTGTATATACGAAGAAAATGTGGGTTTTGAATAATCTTCTGAGATAAGATTATTGTGGAGACTTTTATTTCGTATGGAAGTTGATTATGAAGAGATTCTTGGGGAAATCTCACCAGAAGACGTCAGCTGATTCGCGTTGTACTGCAGCCGCGAATCACTTATTCCTTCGATCCTACAATTTTATCATGTGATTGCGTTCCATTGAACACGCGTTGTGTGAATGCATTGCTCTTGAATGAGTGTGATGTGAGAGTTTAAACTAGATTCTAGCCTGATCAAGCCCCTTGCTCGATGGTACTTCTCGGAGTATTCCAGTCTTCATCACATAAGTATGGTTCGACTGGAAATCATGAGTTATTCTACCATGCGATTTCTCTCGGAAAAGTTTTTTCTTAAGGGTATTCAGCCGTTTATAAATAAGGCACTTAGTAATACTATTTCTTCTTTTCGGGGCATCAAAATTTTAAGTTATAGAGTGCAAGCGTTTCATATTTTAGACACAGCCCACGTCCTCTTTGGAACACTAGATCTTCTTGAATGGCAATGCATAGCATCAACAAGTGATGTATTTTTTTAATGCTCACAACTTTGAAAGTAGAGTAAAGAATTAATTGTCTTATTTATTTTTAACTTGTATCGGTTGTATTCGTTTCACAATAGCCTCGGCAATTGGGATCATTTATAAATTAGTTTGATAGTATAGTACTAGGGTATATCTAACTCCGCTGGAAAATCACCTTTTAGTTTGAAGCTGTTTTAATCGCAGACATGAATACCAAGATGTTATGGCCTTTTAGTCGCAGTCTCATTTGGCAATATACACGTATTATCAGGGCGACTTAATTTAATGCAGGTATGAAAACTAAGATGGTATGGCCTTCTGTTTGTTCGCAATCTTCTTTAGCTTTATAGTGTTGGTTCGACCTTGATTTTGCAACTTGGTCGGAGCGTCAGGGAGATCTTGTGAAACGTACCTAGTCCCGTGTCTTCTGCCATAATATTCGTGATTTCCAGCATTAGACCATTGTCTGGGTACATTCTCAAACGTTTCACCGACATCGTCAGTGAGAGGCGCCATTGTAAGCACAGAGTTATCAAAGGGACAAGTGAAGTCAATCTTCTTGACTAATTTTCTGTTCAGCCGTTGTGGCATCACTCCTCGCCCCTACTTTTTGTTCTAACTTCTAGTGCCGCATCTTTCTGTTAACCCCACTTCATATGACACATCCACATATTTACACAATTCTGTACTTTCGTTTCCTTTAATATCGACTAGGTGGGTGTTGCTACAAGTGGGTTTAGTGAAGCGTAGTCATCTCCACCACCTGTACCAGATGCCGTTTGTATAGCTCACGACATACATTCTGCCCCCTCTTTTTCCATAGCTACTTCTTTATTTGCCGCTGCTAAACATCACAGAAGGCTACACCATCTTGGTCTTCATATCTACGATCAAAATCATTGTTTGACTCTGAAATATGGCTGCCTAACAGACTTTAACTCCTGTCCTCTATTACGCCATATTCGAGGATCTTGAGAAGATTGTGTCCATAAACATTCCAGTGCCTGGGAATCTTCTCCATAGGTTTCAAGCCCATGACTCGATTATCCTCTCCCTCATCCCCACCCACATTTTGTCTCATTCAGTGTGGCCCTGTGCCCGGCTCAAGTCATAACTGCTGGTGTTATAATGCGCTGCTTCCCTTTTTTTCTTTTGAGTCGCGAAAAGCTCACTACTTTCGTCTCTTAAGTTTACATTCTCATATATTCCTAGGCTACTGACAGGATGTTCGTGTGTGTGTGTGTTGGCTGGTATCACCCATGATAAATCCTGTCACCAGTCCCCTCCCATTCAGACACAGATACGCACACACTGGTGACTATATGCGACCAAACAGAAGGCCATCCCATCTTGGTCTTCTTATCTACAATCTAATTACGGTTGTAAGATGCTAATCAATGCACTGATTACAGCATATTAAAGAAAACAATCCTAAGTTTAGGATATGAAGACCAGTATGGTGCGGCCTTTTGTATGGTCGCGGTGATTATTCGGAAATAATCCTCAATTTCCAGTCTCATCACAACTACAGACTGAAGATAAGAATAACGAGGAGTATGATCATCAGAAGCTTAAGTCTAACGGACACTGAGTTCTGGAACGAAGAATTAGGGAAACTGACTCGGATTTGCCTTAGTAACGGGTAACCCAGAAAATTTATCGAAATAAATATAGGGGTCATACAGAGTAGATTTCAACCAGGATTTAATGAAAATAAGACCAGAAATCGGGAAGACGACAAAAAAGTGAATATGCCCGCCTTCTTGTGAATTAAGCCAGAAATTGCGACCATTACTAATAAAATAAAATATTAAGGAATATCAAGAGAAAAAAAGACAACACTTCATGAGCCCGCCGACACAACACGAAAAGGTTGGAAAACTGGATTGCTCTGGAGTCTATAGCACCAAATGCGGCAACTGTGAGCAAAAGTATATTGGTGAGACAGGAGAAAAAATTAGCCTACGATTCAAGGAACATCAAAGACTGCATAAACATGGGCACTGAAAGGTCCGAAATAGCGGAACACATCTCACGGACAGGACACGAAACCGAGTGGAAATCGACAGAAAGGCTGGTTGCATATGGTGGAAACACAATAAGAAGTAAGATAGGAGAAGCCATAGATATCTAACTGAAAGAAACCTAATGAACAGGAAACTTGTATAAGGCAGAATTAGCGAAAACTTTGCATTCTGCCTAAAGAATTTCAGAGAAGATCAGGAAACAGGAATATCTGCGAAAAGAAGACTGGGCAAAGGTATAATTCTACTTTTAGGAAAACAAATTACAAAGAGACCAAAGATGAACAATCGGAAACCAAGAGAAGACGTCTATAGTGAGCCTATTCAATTCAAGTAGAACCAGCACATTTGGGGGTCGACACACAATAGAATGTCATAGAAGAGCAAGAGACACGATAGTGGCCAATTCTAGTTGGGCATTAGTAGATATGCTTGCTCATAGACGTTGATCATGAAGTAAAGGCTTGACCACGAGATTTCCTCGGTCCACATGCCGCACAGCGATAAGGGAATCTACACCGTCAAGTTAGGTTGCCATGCCAAATAAGAATCCAGACTTTAGGGTCTTGAGCAGTAAGGTTGGTGTATACGTGTTATCAGAGGGTTGAGGCAGTGTAGAACAACGCCTTGAGTAGCAGGGATACGGTGGCAGTGATGGAGTGAAATCACTGAATCAAGCAGCTAAGGGAATGATCCTACGGAGTAAGAGGGGACAATTATTGCAATCGAAGAGAGTGGATTGATGATTAAACCGGAGTCTTGATCGCCACTCCCGGCACAGTGGGAGGTATCCGGAAGCCAGTGGGGAGTGTGAATAGGTTTTAAATAGGTTTATATAAACAAGTAAAAAATTGTGATATTGAAGGGGTGATACGAGGATATAGGATAAGTGAATAGCCCAAGACAGAAGGAGAGATATCACAACTGTTAGCAAACAATTGGTCAAAGGATCGACATCATTTGTCTCTTTGACGAGTTGTAGTGTTGTGCTAAGAATGGCAAGGCTTACTGGTGATGCCGACGAAACGTCTGGGAATGTACCAATTCCATGATCGGACTCTGGAAATTATCATGCATATAATAGACACAGGACAAAATCCGTTCCTCTAGGTCCTCCTGTCAATAAGATCAAGTTGCGTAAAGAAGAAAAAACGACTTATAATCGTAATTTAATCTAATCATTTGATTCTTCTCAACTGTTGTAAACATTCTGACATCCCTCCTAGTTTTTTGGAATTTTATGAGTAAATATCGTGGCGATAAAGTCAACATTATATTATATCAAGCTTCTTTGCAAAAAGTAGAAACATATGATAGGGAGAGGGGAAAATTATTTAAGTTTTTAGATATTAAATCTAGACTTAGGCATGATTTGGGTAAAATTCTCACTCTGGAGGATTTCCTGAAACTACAGATGACAGACAAAATGGCGAAAAGGATATATGACTTAAACAAAAAAGACACTATAAGAAGCTGAAGAAATATGGAATCTATAGACAGCCCAAGTCGCTAGTTGTCACACGATGAGATTAAGATGAGGGTAGGTAGTAGGTAGATGTGCCGGGATAGGAAGTGAAGCGTTAGCACAATCGTTCGACAGAAAGTAGGTTGGGGGATTGACTTTACTTGTCTCTGACGAGTTGTAGCTCGGTGCTGAGAATGGAAAGATTCACTGAGGTTACCGGCGAAACGTCTGGGAATGTGTCAATTCCAACTACCCATAACAGCAGAGAACTTCAGACAATGTGCGTCCAATTAGGTCCCTCTGACGCGGTCAGGCTGCTACTAAAATATCGATCACAACCTCTTGGTCTTAAAATTTAGATTTCCACTTGTTAGGGGGAACTTCATTTCGAATGAAAGTACATGATGAAGAGATTCGTTTGTCGTTTTCACCACTTGTTTAGCATAATTCAATATTGAATATAATAATCTTATTTTTTATTGCCTTGTTTATTTATGAGCGGTTGGTATCTACAAGCTTTTCTTTGTTATTGCCTTGCTTTTTCCGCCTTATAT